TTGCGTAACATTATTTTTGACTTATTTTTGCTTTGGGCCATTAATATCCCCATTTTTTTTTAGCGTATGACTACATCACATTAATGATTTGTGTATAAGTAAAGAGACAATACATTACAAAGAGTAAATAAATATTAGTTCTTGTTATTAGTGGAAATTAAATTCATTTCACATATCCTGCATATCATATAATTTTAAATTTTAAAATTTCTTCCAAAATATAAATGAGAAATGAACGTGGTATGGAAAATTATTAAATATTTATTATAAAATGACAATTTATTTTAGCTGACTTCGATGAATTACTGGATGAGGAACGTTTTTGTTGTATAGAGAAAATAAAAACAGTCAGCGCAACTGCAACCTACATGGCTGCATCAGGTTTAAATCCTACAACACAAAAGGTAAGTTTATATGTCTTTTGTGCAAATCAATTTCTTGGAAATGTGGTATTTTCTATTTTATTAATTAAGATTACAATATGCCCAATGCAATATACAAATTTGTTTCTAACTTGTGTTATTTAAAATTTTTCTTGTACCCAAGTCCCACTATTTTGTATTATACTTATTCTAACTCGTCTTTTGCTTTTTGTCGTAATTATTTTGTTCAGTAATATGAGACCTTACAGCCTACAAAGACTAATCCCTAAGATTCCCTAAGATTTAATCTATATAAAAAAAGTTCCTTGACTAAAAAGAAGAAGTATTAAAACTCTAGAATGGGTTGAGTTTACCAAAACTACAAGCTGAATATAACCGCAAATGTCAACCATAAAATAAAATATTTCGGTTTGGTAGTGTTTTAATGTTTTTATAATGCATATGTTGTATTCTTCAAATATAAAGTGAGAAATCTTTTAAAAAGTACATTTTGATTATAGTAATTTATGAATTCTGCAATCTTTAATTTATGATACAATAGAGTAAATATTTGTCTCTTTCGAGATGAATTATTGCAAACATCTGTTGCAAACTGGCAACTGCTGATTTGACGATTACCAAATCTATGCCTTAACCTATCAAAGGGCAATTTCCAAAAAATTCTAATAATTAACTGCAATTAATCGCCAAAAAAACAAATATTTACTCATTCTTGTTTTATATAAATCAAAAACTGCAGAGTTCATATCCTAATATAATAATTAATTATAAAAAATATGGTGCTCCTTCACACCATTTTGGTGCAGTAAGACGTTTAATAGATGAGGAATATCGTGGTAGATGGAATGGACGACGAGATTCGGCAGAATGGCCAGCTCGATTACTGGACCTCACACCATTAAATTTTTTTCTGTGGGATACTTAAAATCTTTACCAGGGGTTAACTTTTAAGGGGATTTACGCTACAGCACCCGACAGTATTGACATTCTGAAACAACGAATTGTTAAAGAATGTAGGGCAATTTCACCCGACACATTTGAAAGAATACGACAAGAATTTACAAATACGATGCATTACTGTCAGAGAGTAGAGAAGCACTTTTAAACACTTAATATTTACCATAATTGGTTCTTTTTCTTCTAAATGTGCCTATGTTCTAATGATGTTGGTGACCACAATGATCCATCTCATTCTATTCACAGAATTTTGAAATATATGATTTGACATTAGACTAGTCCCTTTCCTAAGATTAGCCAGCAGGATAAACGTCTACATCTAGAGCCTCTCTTGCCCTTAATTTTGCCTTGTAAACTTAACTATAGAATGTGAAACTACAATTTTAGTACTTATTTAACTTATTCATCAAAATCGTCTTAAGCCCAAATAAAATTAGTATGATTGAATAAGTATTTTTAATACCGTGTAAACGAAATATCACTTGCCATAAGATTCCATTTAAAATATTCATTCACAGTGGTTCTGTAATGTCATCTATGACTATTACGTCACTTGTTATGACTAGTTGACAAGCTTACATCCGTTTAAATCCTCCCCTTAAATTTCACTATTATAATAATAACCGATTAAAAGATACGAGGTGGGTGAGTAATTTTGGCTAGCACTTTATAGTTCGAATTGGATGGTAGGCACATACAAGTTGTTTTGATTTAATATCAAAAGCATGCTGTGGAATTGGTATAAAAAACCATGATTTCCGTATAGAAGAAATTTAACTAAATTCTGATTCCAAACTGCTCCATACCATATCTTCAATATTTGAAAATTTAATTTAAAAAAATTATAGTAGATTATAATGTTAACTTACTTTTAAAGAACAACCACATTGTGTGCAACAATAAAACTGTTTTCAACACTTTCGCAAAATTTATTACAAAATATTATCACTACATTTTTGTTTCGGCTGATTGCCTTTCTCAAGTGATCTATTTTTGGCATGCGTTTTACACTTTATAGTGCTTAATGAAATAGGTTGAGGAGGAAAGAACTATTTGTCTCAAGTTGATCATTTAGAATTGTATCTGTGTTTTTTAATTTGTTAATTTCCATAAATTCTAACAAAGATAGCTTAAGGCCTTTATTTCGAATGTGAAGTATTTTAAATTCGTCAATAAAAGAATGATTATGATCTAGAAGGTGAAGTGTATGTAGAATCTGTTTTTCTGTTGTTAAAAGCCCTTTTGTATTCTATTTAAATAAAATCACTTACACAGTGGTGTATATAAACTTAAATGTGGCAACTGCCCAAAAACTTACATCGGTCAAACTGGTATAAATTTTAATAAACGAATAGCAGAACATCAAGATTCCTTTTTATTCTTATACCTTTACACTTATACCTTTTATAACGGAATTTTAAATAAATATTTATACATAGATTTGTTTATTTTGATACTAAAAATTTTAACAATTGACAATTGACAACAAATAACTGATATAAGACAATTCTTTCATTGTCTAATATCAGTTGCTGTAGTGGTTGTTGGGTTTTGCTTACTAACATCCATTTGGTTTTTTGTGATATTTAGTCTGAGTCTATATTGTGCACTTGTTTTTTGTATCTTACTTATTAGGCAACTCAGTTTCTCCATGCTACTTGCTAGAATCACAGTGTCATCAGCATACCTTATGTTATTAATTATTTCTCCATTTATATTTATGCCTTCTGTGCTTTCCTCCAGCGCTGTCTTAAATACTTCTTCTGAGTATATATTAAAGAGAATAGGAGACAAGATGCAGCCCTGTCGTATCCCTTTCTTGATCTCAATTTTATTGGTCAATGTAGATCCTACTTTCACTTTAGCTGTTTGACCCTAATAAGACTTGCTATTGTTCGAATGTCTCTGTAGTCGACTCCGATCTTATGAAGAACTTTATTTATCTTTTCATGCTTTACGTTATCGAATGCTTTTGCGTAGTCTATAAAGCATATGTACACGTCCTAGTTCATATCTCTGCAGCGCTGGATGAGTACCTGTAGACTAAAAAGTACTTTCCTTGTCCCAAGAGAATTCCGAAACCTAAACTGCGAATCTCTAATGTTATCCTCGCATTTTTTTGCTTATTCTGTTGTAAATAACCTTGGTGTATGCCTTCGAAATGTGGTTAATTAGACTTATCATCCGATGTTGATCACAAGACTTTGCTTTAGGTTTATTCGGTATGGCAACAAAAGTTGACTCTAGTCGGTCTTCAGGAAACTTCCCGCTGTTATAAATATTGTTAAATAGTCTGACGAGTGAGTCTAGAAAATTGACAGTTTGTTTCGCACAGCATTTTCAATACTTCCCCGTATACGTTATCGTTGCCTGGTCTTTTGTTATTTTTAAGACCCTTTTATAGCATTCTCCACTTCTGATTTTAGAATAGATGGGTTAGTATCATCATTGCGTAGTGTAGTACAGTGTATACCCACTAGGACTGTCATCATTAAACAGTTGTTCCACATAAGTTTCCCAAATTCTAACTATTTTGTCGGAGTCTAGTTGTAGATTTCCATTATCATCGCACAGCCCTTTCGATAAAATATTGTAGCTTTTCTTTTGTTGTGAGTTCCTTTATCTTCTTATGCGAATTGTGATAGTCGTATACCTTTTCGCTCTGTTCGATTGCTTCGCATTTCTCCGAGAACCATTTCTCTTTAGTTTTTCTTATCTCAGCTCTTATTCGTCTATGGATTTCACGGTATTTGGCAGTATCTTTAGTTTTATATATCCGTCTCTCTTCCATCATATCAAGGGTTTTTGCAGTCATCCAGTCTTATTATAACTGCTCTGAAATTATATAAGTTCTCTTATTATAAGTGCCAATTGCAATGACTGCAGCGTCATTAGCACATGTAGCAATGGTATTTGGACTTGTGTTGGAAGACATATTTTTTTTATAGTAATTATACAACTCATCTTGTGGGAGATCTGCTAGAATTCCAACCCTAATTTCCTTTAAATCCAAAAGAGGCTTCCCGATTATGACTCCATCAGTAAGGTATAATGAGTTATTTGCTTCTTTGCGAGAATCCCAATATATTCTGACTAGACAGACAAGATTTTATTTTTCGTATTATTTCCTCATTTAACGATTTGTCAAACTATTGCAACATGTTAAAGAAAATATTAGGGCCGATTTTGTTATTCAGATTTTTAGTTCCTATAATAATAATACTGCAGTCCAATACTGGAATTGTACTGAATATTATAAAGGAGCTACCTTATATCGCTTAAGAAATTTTCTGCAGCTACCAATTAGTTAAATACGAAATAATTTATTTTATTTCATGGACATCAAAAAAAGTTGTTATAATGTTCTTTAATATTATTATATTGTTCTTTAATCTATACTATTTAATTTTAGTGCAAAAACACAGATATTCCTCAACATCTCTGCTCTCTAGTAGATTTCGCCATTATGATGCGACACAAATTAGACGAAATCAACAAAGAATCTTTTAATAATTTCGGATTACGGGTGGGTATATGTTGCGGGCCGCTGGTATGTGGCGTCATCGGCGCCAGGAAACCAGTATTTGACATTTGGGGAGACACAGTTAACTTAGCTTCCAGAATGGACTCAACTGGATTGATTGGATCAATTCAAGTACCAAGAGAAACTGCTCAGGTTAGTTTATAAGGCAATATATTTTTATTATTATTATAATTTGTATAGAATATATATTTTTTAAAGTTAATTAATAGAATATACCTTAGAAAAACCATCTTAAAGGTTTCATTTTCTTCATCATATGTGTAATATACTTGAATCGGCGAGGCAATGAAGACCTAACAAGCACTAAATTAATTTTTCGCAGCAAAATAAATTGCTATGCAACTTTTTGCATTCGATTCGGGAAAGTGTCATAATATGATAAAATGAAAACTGCATTTTTTGCATCAGGAAAATTAATTTCCAAAATGGTCGAAGACCATCCAAATGGATTGTCCCCGAGCTACCTGGTGCACGAGGTGAACCTCGTCTCGTAGACTTTTATGTTATTATTATTCGAAATATATAAAAAGTCATTACTTGGGGGATTGTTGAGGCCGCTGGGCACGAATATTTTGACGACGATATTTCTAGATGTATCTGGTGCCCAGGTTGCCTCGTCTCCTATTACTTAAAGTTATTTTTATTTAAAATCAGTTAAAACTGATTACTCTAGGGTTTTTGAGGTTGCTGAACACGAATGTTACGACAGCGATTATTCTCGAGCTACCTGGTGCCCACGGTGGGCATATAGGGCATTTGGGAGTGTTTGGGTTTGCTAAAAACTTAAGGTGGACCTCGTCTCCTGGAGTTTCATGTTAATTTATTTATAAATCAGTCGTAAGTCATTGTTCGGAGATTTTTGCAATCTGAACACGAATATTTTGTTGATAGATAACCTCAGAATAACTCATACAACTTTATACAAAATCTCAAAAAATTATCCATAAAAACGTAAGTTTGTGTAACCTGCTGGCTAAGTCTAGCGTTAGGGTTTTCACATCGTGCAAGCGCCCCTTAACATGATCCAACGACTACCTTTGTATCTAAGACCGACGCGACGGTTTACGTGCCCTAGGAAGCACGTTTTAAATTTGGCGCTTTTAAGCAGTTGGTAGCACTAATGAAGTATCAGGTGATATATATTGTAAGTAGCAGAACCCGCCTTTTACTTTCACATTTACATGATCTCATATACTTATGGTCCGACACTTACTAGTGCACAGAAAGCCTCCAAGTTACATAGTTAACGTGCGTTTTTTCGGCTCGCTTTATTTCAAATTATTATCAAAATCACCATTTTTATATAAAAATGTGGTTGTAGAATTACTGGATATGCAATTTGGCATGTAAAAATTGTGAGGAGGATATAAAGAACTATGGATAAAATTAACTATCTCATACAGAAGATGATGAGTAAGAAATAAATTTGAATGACACAATAATTTATCCATTATCTTTTGTACTTAATAAAAAAAAAATTGTATTTATATTCAAGAAATTATACTTAAGTCTTACTTGATACCACACTTTCATAAAAATTAAATAACAAATTAACATAAAACTTCGGGACACGAGGTCGATCCTGGGCACTAGATACTTCTTGGGAGACCATCTTTGTCGTGATAATTGTGTTTATCAACCCAAAAACTAACAAGAAATGAGTTTTGACTGATTTCCACTGAAAATGGCATAAAACTTCAAGGAAAGAGGGCCACCTTGGCACCAAGTAGTTTAAGGATCGTCGTTGTCATAATATTCATTGTCCGCAACTCCAAATTTAAATGAAAAAAAAAACTCTTGAAAACTAGGTCCGCCTTAGGCTCCAAGGAGCTTAAGGACCATCGATATCACAATATTGGTTTTTAGCGACCTCGAGAAAACTCATTACAAACTTAGTAACAAAATTAAACTCATTCCTGTCAATAATTTGTGAGTTGCATTTTTTTTATTTTCTATGCACTTTGTAAATGCTTTTTCTTGGTGCATAGAATACAATTTTTAATTTACCATTATCCAATTTATTTTGCAAACTTTCCTAACACTTTTCCAGATCGAATGCAAAAAGGTGCATAATTGATCTCGCTGCGGAAAATTAAAATAATTTATTTCTTTTAGTTTCTTAGTTTCTAGTAACACTTAATATTTTATTTATTTATTTAGATTCTAAGCACCAAAGGATACGAAGTAAAAAAGAGAGGCATTATTGACGTAAAAGGGAAAGGTCTTATGGAAACATATTTCGTGATAGGCAAACAGTTAAACAAACCTCCCACTTTCCAAAGACAACCTAGTCATTATAGTAGTTTAGCAGCAGTTGTCTATGCCATGGCTCAAACTAGAAAGAAACATACCGGAAATACTCGTAAGTATATTTAAAAGAATTTCAAATGTTAAAAATTTATTATTTTAAATATATCACCATTGCAATTCTAGCTGGAAGTGCTGTACTCGGTAGAGCAAGAACACAGCAAAAAGGAGAACGTAAAATTATGAACTATAGTTCTATGAGAATAACTCACAAATCTGGAGGATATCCTGTCAGACGAAATACTACAAGAGGAGCCAAGGAAAAGCATATGCATGCTAGGTAATTTACTCTATAAGTTTTGTATGAAATGCCTATTGTATATTTTGGTTTTGTTAAAAAATTTTAAACTTATATATGCACTTGAAAAAACCTTTATATTTTTAATCTATTATTGTGTCTCAATGGGGCGGTAGTTTCTAAGGTCGCTGATATTTTCCTTCTTATGAAGTAAGATGATTTCCGCGTTGTTCCACTGCGTCGGTGTTACCGCTTCGCACAGACATTTATTGAACAGTTTAGCAAGTGTCAGTAAGAGCTTCTTTCCTCCTAGTTTTAGGCTTTCGGTCATTACCCTGTCTTCACCTGGGGATTTATTGTTCTTCATTACCCGAAGCGCATTTTTAATTTCGTCAACAGTTATGTTCGGCATTAATTCTGAGCCTTGATTCTCTATCTTTGGTAAAGGGCATAAAGTTGTCTGTAGAAGTCTTCCACTGTTTTCACTATTTCTTCCTTATCAGTCACAATGTCGTCTTGTTTATTTCTTAACTTATGTATGTTCTTTTTTCCTGTGGACATGTTGTGTCTTAGAACTTTCAGACTTCTATTTTTCTCTATCACCCTTGTCACCCCTCTCATGTTATGTTGCCGTATGTCTTTTCGGATTTCTTTGTTTATTGTTTTACTGAGTTGACTAAATTCTGCGTAGTTTGTGTTATACCTGTCCTTTAGCCTCCTCCTTTCTTCGATCAGATTTTTAGTGTTGAGACTTATTTTCTCATGTTTTTTCTTTATTTTAGGAGAGCACAACTTCTTCGCTTCTTTAAGGGCTTTTACGATACTTTCGTTTAAAACTTTCGACCTGTGTTTCGTCGAGAGATTGGTTAAAACTATGTAATATGTAACATGTTTAAAACTGTATCAATTTTATATACTAGTCATATTTATTCTCTTTTCAGAATATTTTAATAACTAATATACACTTAATAATATTTATTGACGTTTATAGATCTCAGCCAAACATGAGGCAATTTTCCGGCTCTGGTACCTATCTGGAAAACATGAAGTCGATGAAATCCATCGAACGAGATGTTACTTCAAATACAATCAACCGGATGGCAGTTTCGCAGTCAGCTCCTCATACTCCTGTCACGGCAGCCAACCACGAAGGACCGATTTTCAAATCAGTGCCAAGACTATTGTCTGAACCGATAGTAAATAGATCCAAGAGCTGTTCTCCTTCGACGAAAACGAGTAGATTAGAAAGACAAATGAGCATAGCTGCAGATAGGAGGGACGATGTTTGTGAAGAATTTAATGACAGTATTAGGGTAAGTCTAAAATCTAGATTAGTTTAATATAGAATATAAAAGCGAAAAAATTTTTCTTAGAATGTAATAAAAAGCTTTGTTTGTGTTTCATTCATTTCTTTGCTGTAGGGTACAAACTGTAATCCATTTTCTTTCTTAACACTTCTTGATAAATTTGTTACTATTTGTTGTGACACACATGCTGTAATATATGAGACGAACGTCTTTCTCAAAGAAATTTTGGCCAATTAAACCTCCAGCTCAAAATCCACACCAAGCATTGACTTTTTTGAAGGCCTTGAATGCATTGGGCGCTTTTGGATTTCATCTAAAAAGGTATCATCCCAAATTTGGTTATATTCATAAAAAAATAGACCTCATCGCTGAAGTTTCCAATTTTTCCAGAGCCCATTCAGCAAACATAGTTTTGTATGGTCGTTTAAAATCGGAACTTGAGTCAGTTGAATTTTGTTCTAGTTTTGATCGAAGTCACGACGCACAATTCACCAACTTGTAGTCTGTTAAAGGACAAGTTCTAGTAAGCGATGTAAAATCGACACCCTCGGATTCTCCTACATACTATCAAGGACAACGACGATGGTTTCGGCATATCTTGCATTTCGTCTATTTACAAATGTTGGATAATCGCTTACTGACCACTGGACTTTATATACCACTCTGCGAATCATCTTTTGATTAGAAGGATTATGGCGACCTAACTGAAACGGAAACCATTTTGATCATTTTGCACATTTGTTGTATTCTATCATCCACGTTGTAGTCGATCATCTACGATGATTTGGCAAAAACAAACTAAATAGACGTGAGCCCATTTGACAATACAGCTTCAACAATATGACCGGTAGCAACTGTCTAGTTTCGAAAGTCACTATTACATGACCCTAGTCTACAAACCAATGTAATTTCCGCATTTCTTAATGTGACCTTTTCGATAAGATGTACTACCTTTATAACACAGTCCGTTTTTATAATAAATAAAATGATAATAATTATTTTATAATTATTATTTATCAAAAAATAAGGTATAAAGGTACTTATTTACAGTTGTTATACAGCTTTTCTTGGAGAAACAACCTTACCAATTTAGTCAAAAACGCATAATAGTAAGACGATGAACTTCAGAATTTTTAATCACACTTTCAGTGTGAAACTAGCGATGGATGTTGTGTATGACTATTTGTTTTCAACTGTTTATAAAAAACAAAATGAACCCGTTTTCATAATAAGTATTATTGTACGAAACGCATAGATGAGCAATGATAGAGGTACAGAGCAATGATAGTATCTATAGAGGTAGAGAAACGTCAAAAAAAAGTAGAATAGTAAGTGATACTGTAGGCTAGCACGGAGCTTCATACCAGATTTTTCTGTATTTTTAAAACGTAAATATTATAAATATTTATCTTATTATATTTTAAACAAATTCAATAAATTATTATGTTTGCTCATAACGCCACCTGTTAACGTAATAACAAAGCATACGTTGTTTACTGGCATGAGAAACCTGATCCATATTCATTGACCAGTAAATTTATTATTATAAACTAAATAATTTGTTTAAAAATATTAATTGTATTTATATGGAATTATTTTAAAACGAGAATAATTATAAAAAATTAAACAGATGATTCAATGTTGTTATTTAATCGAATGACATTTTACTTTTATTACATTTTGACAATTATTACGAATCAAATCTTTTATTTTAGTGATATATCACTTTAATTGTGTACTTTTCATTTAATGTTCATATTTTGATAGTTATTTTTCATGCAGTGTTTCATTTAAACCTACTTAGAGTAAATATATGATGACCAGAAACGAATTGATCGAGACTAGTGGATCGATGTCAAGAACCGCTATTCTATGACGCTACCGGTGACGGCGCCATCTTGTGGCGCCAGTTCCGTGATGCTCGCCTCAGCATTTTACTGAGAAAAAAAGTAATATAAACGCCGGTATAGAAGCTTCGCTTTAAAATTAAACCATTTACAGATGTTGTTGTATTTTATATTAAAATAAAAAAAAATAACACTCCGAAATTATTTATTGAATTTTTGCTTTTGATCTTTTTGGGACTCTACAATTTACATTTAATCATAAGTTCAAGTACAATGTACTTAATAAGTAAAATAACATAAATTGGCATTAAAACCATACAAAGTTGTTGATTTTAGAATTATTATTGATTACTTAAAGACAAATCTACACATCAAAATAATCTAGCGGATACCTATATTAATAGCGTTAAATCAATGTTAGCTGCAAATATAAAAATAAATTTATGTTTTTTTAATCTTTTTTGTTGTTTGGTCAATTATGGTAACAACTTGGACGGTATACTAGTAAGAATGGTTATAAGAAATTAAAAAAAAATTTAATATGCGTTTTTTGCCTTTAAAGATAATAAGACAATAAGATATAAAGTAATGTTTTTATTGGTACTTGATTTTTGATGTCTATGTAGATTTTTATTTAGTTTTGCACTTTCCAGTAATGAAGAGATATCATTTAAATCGCGAAACGCAGTGGAGTGTTATAGGGATATTAATCGTTTGTGGTTAAGATATCAAGAAACTGGTGATATTTCTGAACTTCAAACAGGCCGTAGAAGGATAACTAACCAGACTGAACATAATTTTTATTACGTAGAAGGCTTTGCGAGATGGCACTGTAACTGCATCACAATTACAAATGAGGCTGCAAAAGACCCAAAAGGTGTTTTCAAGTAGCCAAAACATTAGAAATAGACTGCATAAAGTAGGGTTAAATGCTGCATATTTAATGATTTGTGAGAGTCCCTGTGTTATCCAAAGAAAATCGCGCTCATCGACGTTAGTGGGCACATAAACACACAAATTAGGTTAGACGTGAGTGGGCATCTACTTTGTTTACAAATGGACAAGAATTTGGAGACTGGAGAGATCTGGTAATGCTGAATGATTGGCCACCATACAGGAGGATCATAGACAGCAAGGCAACAGTAGGTATAATGGTATGGGGTGGCATCACTCTTGATGGAAGAACCAATCGCGTGTGTCTGGAACGGTTTCTAAATGCAACACACTACCGCGATGTTATTCATGAACCTGTTTTTGTAGCCTTTGTACAAGCTGGTCCCCAATTTTAATGCGCTTCCACATACTGCCATGGTCGTAAGAATATTCCTCGAAGATAATGAAATTAAGGTTTTACATTAGTTACACAAGCATTAGTTTTTTATTTTTTTTTTTTACCATTTTTTAACTTATGGACTTATCTTTTAATTTTTTTAAAAGCAATTGCGATAATTCTAAGTGAAGATCTTCATTTTATATTCAGCATACTTGTTTATAACTACTTATTAAAAATATTTAAAATGAATTATTTGAAATCCTTCTGTAATCTCGCATTTTATTTATGTTCCCTTGATTATTTTGATATATGTTGTTTTGTAAATAAAACGTTAGTATGTACTTAAATATGTAAAAAAAAAGAAAAACTTTTTTTCATTACTACACTTTTTGTCAAAATTAGGAATGACTTTGTCAAAATTGAAAATTTTACAATCGACACTCTCACTTGATGCACAGCAAAATTACTAGAAATTATATTAGTATGGGAGAGCGCTCACCAAACGGGCATAGCAAGTGGCAAGTAGCAAGTAGCGCGCGTCTAGCATGTTACTTAAAATGTAACCAATGCAAACGAATAATTCAGTGCACGCCAAAATGACAGTAACAGTGGCGTCATGCAGCTTGCTATGCCACGTCGTTAAAAGTAGAGCTTGTTCTACTTTTGCCACGTGCTCTTGCATTTTGCATGTGTGTTTGTTATAAAAATTTAAATATGGAGTAATACGCGTATTACTACGTAGTCACTAGTACGCTCTTACACTCTTATAGACCTCAAAGGGTATAGAGTAGCTTTATGTTCCATTAATAAAAAAGCCATGTGTATACTTTTATTGTTTTATTATGAAACATTTTTTAAATTCTTATTGTATTATAATTGATTTTTGTTGCAGGCCAAGAATAAAGCAATAGTACCAGTTCATTCACCCAAGCACCTTCCGAAGCGAGAATCAAAATTTTCCCTAAAATCACCTTTGTCGAGGCGAGAAACCAAAATCCAAATTGAAAATGCCATCAACAGAGAAAAACTAAACAAGGTCCATTCTTTAGACGGAACTCATGTCTAATTTTTTATATTCTAAAAATAAAGTAAGACCCCTTTGTTGACTGTAAAAAAGACCAAAAATTTTTAGTTTTAGAGTTTGAAAATAAATGAAGGGTACGAGTACAAACAAAAATGTCACTAATTTGCCAATAATCACAGAAAAAAAGGTTATTTTTATAATAAGTAAATATAAAGCTTATAAAATAATAATACATAAATACCAATGTACCTATGTTTACTTTCTCCTTTTTTACAAGATAAGGCGCTGAGCTTAACGCTGATATTGTTTAATCCTTGTAACTAGTGGTGAGCTCTGCTAATGTGAATCTTACTACCCGCAATTAAATAGGATTGCGAGTACGGCGTAGAAATAATTTCATTTTAATATTGAATTATTATTTATATATATATATATATATATATATATATATATATATATATATATATATATATATATATATAAGCTGGAGAAAGACTACCACACTAACCAAAAACTATTTTCAAAACTCTGAGAAGCCTAAGAACAGAGAACAGACAACAAACACCAAAACAAATTAAAAACAAAGATGGCCATATCCTCTGCGAGAACGAAAGTATTATGAACAGGTGGAGAGAATATTTCGAAGACCTTCTGACTCAAAAAGACTATAATAATGAAATAGACAGCACTGAAGAAAACACATCTGAGAACCCAAACCAAAACGAAATAACAATAGAAGAAATAAGAGAAATAATACTCAGGCTCAAAAGAGGAAAGACAGCTGGCTATGATAAGATAACTGCGGAAATGGTAAAAAATATTGGAGAAAATGGAAATGAAATGCTTAGAAAAGTTTGCAATAAAGCATGGAATGAGAACAAGATCCCAAAAGACTGCGAAGTGGGTGTTATTCTACCCATTTTCAAAAAAGGTGACAGACGAGAATGCAGCAACTACAGAGGTATAACTCTCCTGAGTATCCCTTCCAAAGTTTACGAAAGAGTACTGGAGAAAAGATTACTACAAGAAGTAGACCATAAGCTGGAGCAGTCACAGAGCGGTTTCAGGAAGAGAAGAAGCATCCATGACCATATTTTTCTACTCAAGCATCTAATACAAAATGCACAAAATACAAGCACGGAACTATACCAAGCCTTTATAGACCTCAAAAAAGCATTTATTAGAACCCCGCGAACTGAAATAGACAAAAGACTAAGAAACAGAGAAGTAGACGGCAAACTCAGAAAAGCTATTATAAGCCTATACAAGAACTCAAGAAACACGGTAAGAACAGATAATATGGAATCAGAAGAGTTTAGAGTCAATGATGGCTTACGACAAGGAGGTGTACTAGGCCCCATCCTGTTCAATATTGTACTAGATGATGTAATGAAGGAAACTAGAGAAGAAACATCGAGATTATTTGTTGGACACAGAAACCTGGAAATGATACAGATTGCGGAGTGCGCATTTGCAGATGACCTCGTCGTATTTGGAAGAAACGAGGACGCACTTAAGAGAAACGTCCAAATATGGAGAGATAAACTTGAGAAACGCAATCTGAGAATTACTGAAAGTAAAACCAAAGTGATGGTATGTGAGAAAACAGACCAACATACAAACATTAAAATCAATAACTATACTTTAGAACAAGTAGAAACCTTCAAATACCTGGGAGTAAACTAGAGAGTAGGGGTACACAAGAAGCAGAGATAAATAATCGAATAGCAAATGCTTCCCGGATATACCACGCAATTAAGAGCACATTCCTATCGAAAAAAGAAGTATCCCAAAAAAAAAAGCAAAGATAGCTATCTACAACACAGTTTTTGTACCTATCGTAACATTTGGATGTGAAAGCTGGACGCTCACCACCAGACTAAAAAGTAAACTGCAAAGTATATCAATGAAGTATCTAAGAAGAGTACTAGGGGTGACCAGAATGGACAGGATACGGAACAATGAAATAAGAGAACGCCTTAAAGTCCAGTCAATAGAGAAGAAAATCGAAGAAGCCCAACTGAGATGGTACAGCCACATGGTAAGGATGGATAAAAGAAGCCAAGTGAAACAAGTGTGGGAAGCGAGAAGAACCTTGAAAAGACCGAGGGGCAGACCCATGAAGACCTGGGACGATGAAATTACCGCCATCCTAGACAGGAGAGGAGTCACCAAGAAGCAAGCGAAGAAATTGGCAAGCAACAAGAAGAATTGGAGGAAGTTTGTACATGAAAACTAAAAGAGACTTTACACCCAACACCTTAGGGTAGAAGGGTTATTGATTATATTATATATATATATATATATATATATATATATATAATATATATATATATATATACATATATACATATATATATATATATATATATATATATATATATATATATATATATTATTTATATAATCTTGCGAACACCTACCACAGTTAATTCTTATTTTGTTCAGTGTGGCTTAGATACGTCCTTGGTTGGTCAAAACCCTTTAGCTTTTCTATGACATATTCCGGGTAGTAGACGATGCATTCTTTTTTCATTCTTCTCGCCAATGGTCGATTATCTTAAAATTACTTTTAATTAAAATATTTGCAGAGTCTAGAGGGTTGTTGTTTGAGCGAAGCCTACTTATATCTCTGACGGTTATACCAACGTAGGAGCGGAGCACAGAATCGGCGTTAATTTTTTCATACTCCCTGACAAGAGCATATTCTTAGCGGGCGTATGAGAGGGCTATGTGGCGCAATGCTGGAGCCGGTACGTTGACGTAGTCTTGATTGTGTCCAATATAATACACAAAAATTGGTTTAGTTGGACGTCAGGTGTTAAGCCACACCATAGTGCACAGTATTCTGCAACGCGATACACAAGTCCCAGTTTTGTCGATCTATCTGTAACAGCATAACAGCGTACAGCATATATTTTTTTAATTATTTCGTGTTCTGAGTTTTTGCAGACGTCTTTGATCTTCTTTAAAGCTTAACGTTCTATCGAGTATCACACCTTGATATTTTGCGTATTTAGTGTGGGTGAGGTTATGTCTTTAAAGTGGATTTTTAATTGGCAGTTGACCAACTAAAATTTCTATCTGTCTAAAATGTCTGTTGTTTAACTCACAAATATTTCTTGGCGGCACTGGGCTGCAATCTCCAGCGACGGAAACATCTTCCAAAGGTAAACCAGATCGTCTGTTAAAATTTGCTCAGTAGTATCGAATTCTTTATAGCTCGTAGCAAGCACCAGTCTTCTGCATATCCGAGCTTCTTCGATGTGGTTTTAGGTATATCTGCCATATAAACACTAAACAGTGGGGGAGCCAGCACTAATGCCTACGGAGGACCATTGTTCTGTTTAATTTGAGTACTAATCTGAAATCTGAGTCTAATCTGAAAAAAGTTAGGTAGAGTATATCACTCAACTAGAATATAAATAATGGATAATCCAACATGGTGGGGTAATCATTTCAAAAAAGTAACAAAAGGTTATTATATAAGAGGTGGGCTAGAATATCTAGGACTAATCTAATCATATTTTTACTTTTTTCTTTAATGAAATTTTAGATGTAACTTAGTAAATCAGCAAATATTAGATAAATGAACGTAAAAGCTATGACCGAAAGGATATGAGCAATGAGATAATTCAAGATAGTTATATATAAAGTATTGTATAATAGCTTGAAGACAAACTGGATCAAAGCTAAAACAATCAATATTCACATCTTTAAAAATGACAAAATCATATAGAGCTAAAACAGTAAGTTTGATATTGTCAAAAATAAAATAGAAAGAGGGAGATGCCATATAGTCGACGGCTTGTGTGTCAACAAAGATGTAGAAAGTGTCAAAAACATGAAGTGTCAAAAAGCTAGATTGTATCCGATTCATAAACAATAGAAGTAGAAGTGAAACATATAGTTTAATTTAAACCAATAGCCCCTTTTTGAAAAGATTTTACATCAAGAACACCAAAGTTTTGACAGAAAAAAAGGTTTATGCAAAGAACGCAGTAGACGAACGGGGCGACTACAAGATTAATCTAAAAATATAAGGTCGAAAAATAGTTTCTAAAGCTTGTCGCTCATTTCTGCACTGCAACGCGAAGCGAAGCGCGGAGAAAAAGGTTGTTATGAATTTTCTTCATGTAGTTAAATATACTCGCGCGTATCTGTGCAAAGCAACGCGCTGCACCACGAAGAGAAGGGACACGGATCGCAACCGTAGAATTTTGGGCGAAGAAATTCTGTTCGGCGCGCTTCGCATTGCACTAGTGAGCGGAGGTCTACGGAAGTCATGCGGAAACTTTCCCGAATTTCGTTTGTCATCGACTACATTCGACGTATCTCGTAGTTAAAAAAGTACCCACCTTCACTAATTTGTGCTAATATGGCTAGTGTACAGTTGGTTGGTATTTGTATTTTACACCTGTAGGTACTGATCTTACTGATAGTTTCAACAGTGTTAAAACCTACCCAGGCGCTGATATTCAATCTGACCACAATCCTTTAGTGGGCGTGTATAGAACTAAGTTAAAGAAAATACGCGGAAAAACTGTAAAAAAACATGACATGAGAAAACTGAAATGTAGCGAAGTAAAAGAAATAGTCAGCAAAACATTAAATAGAAAATTTAAAGAAATCGATAATACAACGGAAAGCATAGAAAATAAGATAGAATCCCTTAAGAAAACAATAGACGACATTAAAGACAATTTTAAGAAGAACGAAGAAGGTAAGAATAAGACATGGATGACGACAGAGATTCTGCAACTAATGGAAGAAAGAAGGAAAAACAAGAACGATAACTCCATGTATAAAACATTACAGCGAGAGATACAGAGAAAGATCAGAGAAGCCAAACAGAAAGAACTGGAGAAAAAATGCCAAGAAATCGAAATTCTCCAAAGTAAATACGACGACTTCAACGTGCATAAGAAGGTAAGAGAAATTACAGGTAAATGTAAAAACAGAAGAATAAGTAAACTTGTTAATGACAATGGAGAGATAATCGTGGACAAAGAGAGTATCAATGATACCTGGAAAAATTACATAAGAAATTTATTTTTTGATGAGA